AAGAGAGAGAGAGAGAGAGAGAGAGAGAGAGCACCAGTGACAATCGGTAGTCGTAAGTAGCCGCGGTCTGATCACACTGACTGGAGGTGGCAGCTAATAGAGAGCTTGAGATGTTTCGCCGAGTCGGAGGACCACGACAGGTCTTGGTACCCCTTCAGTGGGAGTAAGAAACTACTTTTTACCGAATTATAGGGTAAATCATTTTATATATAAAATATAGCTTGTGTTGTATGCGCGTAACACCCTTTCTCTAACTGGTCGCTTTTAAGGACAAGCGGACTAACCCAGATTTCGTGCCTTTCCAAAAATCTTGACCTACACCAAAAGTGAGCATTGCCCTACCTATAGGAGAAGTTTGGTTTTATTTTTGTGTATATTTAATTGGTTGTAGAGAAAACTCTCCTTGCTTAAAAAAAAAAAACTGAACAAGGGGCAAAAACTTTACCTTCGATTTTCTCAAAACAGTATTTTTTTTCGGGATAGCCCCATTGTGCTTAAAAGCGACCAATTATTAGTACATGTAATTGCTTTACCTCGCCGGAGAAACTGGACACGTTCACGAGTCTGCTGCACGCTCATATGACCTTATGCAGTTGCAAGCGCCCTAAAACTCTCACTAAAACAAAAGCGACCAACTATCAGTTGCATGTCTGTGGGTTGAGATCACAAAACTCTCTAATAGTGAGGACCACCCTGCCCTCAGTCAGTTATATGACCTAATTGTATCTATTGTCCTTATCTCTCCTTTTTCTCACCGTAAAACCCTTGCTCAAACTATAAGTTGTATATGTCTGTAGGTTGAGATCACAAACTCTCTAATGGTGAGACCACCTCGCTCTCAGTCAGTTATATGACCTAATTATATCTATTGTCCTTGTCTCTCCTCTTTCTCACCGTAAAACCTTTGCTCAAACTATGAGTTGTTTATGTCTGTAGGTTGAGATCACAAACTCTCTAATGGTGAGACCACCTCGCTCTCAGTCAGTTATATGACCTAATTGTATCTATTGTCCTTATCTGTCCTCTTTCTCACCGTAAAATTCCTGCTCAAACTATTCGTTGTATGTCTGTGGGGAGAGATCACAAACTCTCTAATGGTGAAGACTACCCTGCCCTCTGGGCCACCCTGACCTCTGGGCCACCCTGACCTCTGTCAGTTATATGACCTAATTGTGTTGGGTGCGCCATAATACACTTTCTCAAACTCTCAGTTGTATGTGTGTGGGTTGTGATCACAAGCTCTCTAATGGTGAAGACCGCGGTGCCCTCAGTCAGTGGAAAAAGAGCAGTGCACAGTGTGGCGGGGAAATCACATTTAAGGACACAGCAAGTCTGGAGTGGAAGCTAGTCGACTGTACTGCTACTCGGGTCTTTTCTTCTCTCCCCGTCTCAATCAACACAGTCTCTCTCTCTCTCTTTCTCTCTCTCTCTCTCTCTCTCTCTCTCTCTCTCTCTCTCTCTCTCTCTC